TGTTCGACACCGGTCCAAAGGCTGGAGGCAGAATATGCTCGGGTCATGCGTGTCTCCGCCGAAGAACCGGACATAGAGCCTGCTATATATGTCAGGGGGAAGTGATTTGATGGCGCAGTTACGAGACCAACTTATCATGCTCCCGGAAATTGAGGAACTGACCCCAGAATGTAACATCGACGAAGCTAATGTCGGCGTTCCGGGATTCACAACTCCAGATATGGATGAGAGGGATCCTGACACGCCATCGCAGCATCTTCCTGGGAGGTGGCAACGCAGCTCCGGCTCCGGCTAGGGGCGTAGTGTGTGACATCGACGTCGGAGAAGCAAAACCAGTGGATTTACGTGCGAGACAGATTGCCGCACCGTTCTTGGTGAAAGTGTTTGAACTCTTGAAGAAGTTGTTGGAGGCAGAGCTCATTGAGCACTCAGAGTCTGAGTGGTCCTCACCTATTGTGATTGTGCTAAAGGAAAACGGCATAGACATCCGGATGTGCATTGACTACCGGCTTCTGAATCTGCTCATAAAGCTATCTCGCTACCCTCTACCTTTGATCGATGACCTGCTGGTAGACTTCAAATCCGCGATGTGATTTATGAGTCTCGACATGGCGAGTCGATTCGGTGCGGTGCGAATGACCGAACGTGCGAAGTTGATCTCTGCGTTCGTCTGCCCGTTCGGCCACTTTCAATGGCTCAGAATGCCTTTTGGGTTGAAGAATGCACAGCTAATTTATCAGAGCATCATCAACAACTGTCTGTGGGGATTCGTCCGTCTACCTCCTGAGGAGGAGGTGATGGTTGGCCCAGAAGTTCTAGAGCTCCTGGATATCGAGCCTCAAGGAGCTCTGAAACCTGAAGTGGATATGCGGATTCAGAGATTCCGTCATTGGACATGACTGTATTCCGACACAATACTCCGGCCCCGTCACAAATGGGTCCTGTCTTGGGACGAAGCTCCTATATTGACGAATCGCGCATGGGGCGTCGACCTGGGACCAATTATGTGAGGAATTGGACGCGTTGTTATACAGACTACGATCCTGGAATATCTCTGTAAGCTTACCCAAAAGTGAATTCGGAAAGTTGACCATCCCATTCCTTTCTCACGAAGTGAGTGCGGACGGAATCAGAGCCTTGCCGAAGATTGTCAAAGGCATAGAGGACTTACCTTTCCCGTCGACGTACAAGGGAGTGCGGTCCTTCTTAGGAAGTCTGAACTACTACCATAAGTTCATTGAAGTCTTACCAGTAGCTGCCGCTGTGCTCTACGAACTAGACGAAGAACGTGTACGCGCTGGACAGAACCTGGAAGCCGCAAAGGAGCCTTTCGAGATACTGAAACGCAAGATCGTGTCGACCCCGCTGTTGCGACATCCACGCAGAACAAAGCCTTTCGTGATAATTCCGCATGCCAACCCGTGGGCAGCGTGTGCGGTTCTGGGTCAGGAGCATGAAGGACTCATACATCCAGTACGATTTACTGGCAGGGTGTTGAAGGAATCAGAGCTACGTTACCACATAGCTGAGAAGGAAGTGCTCGCAATCTTGCGGACTCCATGGATCAGAATTCCCAGTTGTGGTGTATACGCGCTACTCTGTACTAAAGTGGTTACTACAATCCAACACGACATCTGAAGTGGGGGTTGGAACTATCAAGATGGACACTGGAAATCTATCGGACTCAGAAAGATGAGAACGGCCTTGCAGCTATCCTTGGACCCGGTATCACTCCCAGGGAACATTTAGACGAAGTCGCAGAAACCCTGATTCCCGCCAAGGGGCGGCTGAAAGTAATGTCACCAGTGATTCTGGAAATGTTGGAAGCAGACTACCAAGGCTACGTTCTGAGTTTTGATGGCGCTGTGAAGATTTCTACTCGCCGAGGAAGTTGCGGATGCATACTGTGGAAGCTGCCAGGGTGGCAGGTCGTGAAAGCTGAAGGATACATTCTTGAAGGTGTGATGGTCAATGATGCTGGATACCATGGTGTGATTCTGGGCTAAAGCTCGCTATGAAGTATGATGTCAAGTAGCTTGTGGCAGTCGGTGATTCCCGAATCGTAGTCCAACAGGCTCAG